AGGAGTATCAAGAAGTCGTGAACATTGACCGAACAAACCTAAAAACTCCGGCAAACCTCTTCGATTCCTCGTGAGCTACATTCGAGACAGAAGTGAGGAATCAGAGCTGCGAATCTCGCCTCACGAATTGAAGAACAGGGTGTTCAAGCGCGTGCGGCATTCGCAGATAATTTTTGTGCCAAAGCCCTCCTGCCGGCAGGGCACGCCATTGCGTTGTGATCATTTCCTGAAAAATACGACCCCCCCTAATTCCATCTTCAAGTACGACCCCCTCCCCATGTTACCTCTTCCCTAGATTTTTCCAACCTCCTACCACTTTGTCTATCTTCAAAAAATTTCTGGTTTTTTTCACAAAATTTTGCTGTCGAGCGGGGGGGGGAGGTCGCAGTACATACGTACGAGCGTCCAGCACCTGGCGCTGGTGAATAGATACTGACAATACGTAACGAGGAAGGGGCGATGATAGGAGCTAGGATCACCGCCCACAAGGGCATCATGAATTTATAAACAACAAAAGGACTCACGACGTGACGATTAATAAACAGATGAAAGTACATTCCCGGACTTTTCTTATTGCAGGAGCATATTTGCTTGCAATTGGGAAGCCCTATCTAGAAGTTACACCTTTCAAACACCTGCGTGAAAGCCCCATGCATGGCGCATTGCATATGTGATGCCAATTGGCGCCCAATGGCCTATTACCTGATATGCTTGACGAAAACATGTGTTTCAGAAGCATACCAAAGTCTTCAAGCCAACTGGAGGTTTCATGGCCTCTGAGGGGTTGTTGTTTCGGCTCGTCGTGGGGGGTATTACAGCAATGCATGCACAGTACGGGGAATTCTTCGAATAGCAAGCCTAGGGAGAACAATCAACAGCCGCCTGCTGGAAGAGTACATATCTTTCAAGCTTCGCGCACAATTCTTTTTTTTTAGCGAAAGAGCCAGTGTATAAGCTTGCCATGGACGTCCTTAGGCGTGCACCTCGCGGTTCGCATAAATATGATCCACAGACGGATCACCAAAGATGATCACAACGGAAAATTCTGGAACCGTTATACGTTTTTAAAATCGCTCAATTCAGGTGATAAGAGCCAACCTAGCTCTACCCATTCCTACTTTCCCCTCTCCGATAGCTTAACTTTCAACAAAGTTATGGGTGTTCAAATGAGGGGTACTTTTCGAGCGTTTTCGAGCGTTGGCTTGAAATCGACTGTGGGACGTGAAATAGCGTGTACCAATGAGACGGCACTTTCGGCGCGAACAACTAGCATACAAATTTGGTAAGTTGTTTTTTTCTCATTTATTTTGTGTATTTCAATGCTTTCTAGGTTTCTTTTTAGTTTCTCGGTATTTTTTTAAGTTTGTGATCTAGTTTCCGCCACTATTGAACTATTCCCACCCCAGTCTGTTGTAATCAGACCGCTCCTTTATCGTTTTTTTTTCTAGAAGGCCAGATTTGGCTGAAAATTTGCACACAGTGTCACTTCGACCTATTGAGCACGAATATCATATCCGTTTTGAATCGATTTTCGTGATTTGGGGTTTTTTGGCGCAGCGCCACAGGCGCCGCCGCCTATATACCCTAAACCACCAAAATCGATGAAAACTTGTGTTCAGGGGTTATTTGACATCCTGTTTTCAAATATGACATTTATTCCTGGCGCAAGTGTCAGCGTACGTCATCTGCGCTTTGCCGAGACTGAGCCTGGCCTGAGAGAAATCATTCGTTTTCCCAGTTTCAGCCTCAGCAGAGCGCTTAATATGGAGGTACGAAGAAATGATGTCATATTCGTGATCAGGACATCTGATAACATCTACTAGCAAGTTTTCAAAGGTCGAAAATTTTTCTCGACTCCTTGGCGTAGGAATAGCTCAATAGTGATAGTTCTCTTTATTGTCATTTTCATCGTCCCTTTCGAGCTTCTTTCCACCTGTCGCGAAGTACAGTGGCTCTCTCGCACTTCTTTGTCATTGGATTTTGTCTTGGTGTGCGATGCGCTTCGACGCCCCCCCCCTCCATCGGCGGGCAAATACCGACCCGCCCGTTGTTGATGAATCACATAAAGATGGCGTGCGCCTGCATCCCTTTAGTGATGACCTCCGGACCGAAGCGATTATCAGGTGATCTTCAAGGGACCAGTTCGAACCAATTCTAGAGCTATAGCAGGCGAACTTTGGCAGGAAGCCTGCTAAATACACTGTAATCAATGGTTGATTCTGGGCGACTCGCTCTTTACTTTTAATCCATACAGTGTAGTTCGCTGCGGCACGGCTGGGCGGTGGCCAGGCGGAACTAAGTTTGGCAGCGGCGCTAAACCCACCAGCAGTTCTTAAGACCAGCAACCTGAACTAATGTAGTCAATCGTTCGCGATTCCTCGTTTTTCCAGACCATTTTTGTCGCATGGCGCGCTTACAAACAAGAAAGACAGAGAAACGCCTTCGGGAGAGGGTGACACTCAACACTGCCTGAGACGCGTCAATGTCGCTTAGCGCAGCGACTTGGAGTGAAACATCATTTGTACATTCTATTTTCTCTTTCTAGTGTGAATCTCCCATCATAGGTAGTTTCGAGGCACTTTATCTTTTGACAACTCTTATCATGCCTCTTCAACATTTGTTATCACTTTATCTACCCGCTATTAATGTACTCCCCACGCTTCCATCGCTGCTGGCGGCGTGCTTTTAAATTTCTTGGCGATTAGTAGGACATAGACATGCACGCAGGCACGCAGGCACCAGCACAGCAGCACGCACGCAACGGGCCCGCACGCGACGTCACCTGCATACGCACGCACGCAGCACGCGCACAGCCACGCACGCACGCACCCACGCAACCCACGGCATCTGTCATCTTTTTCTGGTTAGAGAAGACACATAGTAAGACTGGTCTCAACCATTTTTGCGTCGCTTTTGAGAACCCCACAGGCTTAAGATACCCGTGTTTTGTTCTGAACTGTTCCACGCAAAAGCTCTATGAGAAGATGCGCTTCTTTAGGCTGAAATACGAGGACTCATTGTCAGAGAATACTTCTGATCTCAACAATTGCAAGAAGAGAATAGACGTTAGACAAGATAAGACGTTTTGTTCGCGTTTAATCTTGGGAAAAAGAATTTGTTCTCAAGAAACTTTCACGCAATTCCTTAGCTCTTCACTTTCAGAGGTATGATTCTTTTCGCTGCCCTAGAGTGCTGCGAAAGTTTAGCGTTGGATCCAGCGTTTTATGAGCGCATGCGGGCCGTACAAACGAAGTCCCTTACTTAACCGATTTCCGTACATTTTTATAGTTCAGTTTTTCACCTACCAAAAAAGCTTTCTGTCGAGCTAAAGGGGGGGGGTATAAGCATGGTGGAAACGGGTACAATTTCAAAATTGTCCCCAACTGTCCTACACTTTCTCCGGGATTTACAGCGAATTTCCTAAATTTCCTCAAAAAATTTCGCTTGCTGAAGCGGAGGCTGCGGGGAGGAAGTGTGTAGTACATATAAAGCAGGCAAAATCACGCGAAGTCTACAACCGGGAATCAAAAGTACGACTCCCTCCCACTCTCCGGCGGAAAAGTACGGCTAGTAGTTTGCCCAGCTGGCTGGATGCACCATCGTTGGTGAAACACTCCTCAGAAAGGTGATCCCCACTCTAACTCCTCTTATCAAATCTTATCAGCTGCTAGCAGTTCTTGTCACCCACCGATAATGTTCTCGTCCCGAACCCTGTATCATATCATGAAAACAGCGTCTAAACGATGCTGTGATCCGCGCTATGTACTCGGTGATCCTCTCTTTCTGACGCCTCTTATCAGATCTAATCACCTGATGTCATTCCCTGTCACCCACCACTAATGTTCCTGTCCCATATCCTGTATCTATGGAGTACAACCGTCAAGGTCTAATGTGGCGCGCGTTATGGACTCGTGACCCTCTCCCCTTCTAGCGCCTCTTATCAGATCTTATCAGCTGTTATCATTAACTGCCACGCACCAATAATGCCTCCGTTCGCAACCCTACACAACTCCTTAAAAAGCTTCTGCTGGCTAGTGGGACGGCGCCGTATGAATTTGTGACAGAGACAGACAGACAGACACACACACAGACACACTTAGCGGATTATATATAGTAGGATAGGACTGAATGATAAAGGGGAGATCACAAATGGGTGGACGCAGACCACAGTACCTGAAAAGCCGAAGCCCCGGCTTTTCTATCAAGCACGTCCGAGTGCCGAAAATGGGACATCCTTGGAGCTGTGCATAGCGCCACGCGGTAGGGCCGGGCGTCACGGCTTATTACGCAGCGTTCAGACTTGTCACGCTGCGCAGCGCTGCAATCCTCGCGCGAAAAGTCTGAACGCTGCCTTAGACTTCGCGTACAGGTGGAAAAGCGACGTGGCTGTCTGCGCTCTAAGGCTAAAAATTGTTTTGAGAAGTAAAGCAAGGGCACAAAACGTAGCTTAGCGCAACGTCGTGAGCACTCGCGCCATTTTTTCTTTGGAAAGGTTTCTGAATATCAACCCATTGTGGAACTACCTTTTTGGACAGCTTGCCAAATTAGCCGTTGAAGCGTCCTACTGATGCAAGTATTCATCCCTGCCCGCCATCCCTGCCGCCGAAGTGATCACCTACCTCAGGGCAAAGGGCGACCGCGAGAAATGCGCGATCGGCTTGGGTATGTGGCAAGAGAATCGTAATTCGCCGCGCCAGTGGGCGTCGCGTGCGACGTCGCGCCCGCTAATGACGACGATTTTAGGTGGTATTGGTCGAGAATAGACAATGTATGACCAAAAATAGATATAAGTGTCTACCATATCTTGTCTAGGTGGAATTTGATGCTCCAGTCGAAAGGGTAGTGCAAATTAAGGGAACGTCGCGCGCATAGCCGTGCGAAACGAGTAGGCAATTCACGATTCTCTTGCCCGTCTCCCGGTCGGCTTGCTGATGCCAGCAGGGTCTTACTGCTAACAGTTATGGGTGCAGTTCAACACACGTTCAAAACAAACCTGGTAACTAAAGCTGATCAGGCAGTTTTTCTTCTGTTGGCATCCTGGCGGAGCGAATAGGCATCCTTTCGTTCTTGCCACACTCGGTATCGTCGAACCCTTTGGGTTCTTCTTCACAGGAACAGGAGTACTAAACTCACAAAACAATCAACCGGCGCAATGTAAATCTGGACGTTCCCAAATGCCACAGCTCTCACCAGCAAAGCTGCCACGATTACGATGGAAATCAGTGTGCTTGCCATTTGAGAACAGCGTGCAGTACCCTGGAATATCGCAGGTAAAGGACTGCAAGATGCAACAGCCAGCAGAGGACCTCACCGTTCTCAGTGCTGTAGCCAAATGAACCTTCCTCATCTGTATTGCCTACAATCACTTTTGATATCAGCATGAGGCGTGATACCACAGATAACAACCCTCACCCTCAATCCGATAACTATCTCTTAGTGCTGCCATATCAACATTGAGAGAATCGAAGCCCAAAAGGCATCTGTCGTTTCTCGGCGTTCTGAAGCTTTTCTCCTCAGAAGGGCCAAATTCCTTTGCACCGCTTCATGGAGACTTGTCGTGGTTTAGACACTGAACTTTACGATGGCGTGAGCCCCCCCCTCCTGTTACCTCAAAAAGGCAGGAACCTAGACTACTTCAACGATAGAAAGGTTAACGCTCAGTGCTGAAAGGCCTACTTCACAATCCTGAATACTACTATTTGGGTATTTCGGCTGGGGGGGGGGCACCGAAGAGCTTACCACGATCACCTGGCAAGTCCACTAACAAATATAGTGATCATTGTACGCACTTCTAAGCTTACACAGTGTTTTGTACTTAGCATAGGAACTGACAAAAAACCCCGAATTGCCTGCTCCACCCCCGGCCCCCAACCTCTAAAGCCGTGGCACGAGGATTGGTGTTGCGGCCCAACATGCTAGTAGGGGGCGCTAATTATCGTGGGGGAAATGGGCGAAAGAACGGAGTGTGAAGACGGTCAAAAAGAAAAGAGCCCTCCGTTCTCAGTGTTTCAAAAATCAATTTTGGACGAGTTTCCTGTAGGCATCTTGCCAATAACCGCTACCGAAGGTACGGCTGCATATGTGTACTCATATATCCATGCAGCATCACGGCCGCTTCATACCAATCCCTTCGCTTCATAATTTGCTTAGCAAATGAATCGATTAGAGCGTCAGGAACGGTCGTCCATTTGTGGGCGGGCGGGCGTTTGGGTCGGTAATGTTGTGGCTTGATAGGGCCCTTATAAGGGCACCTTCCTTGGAAAAGGCATTATGCAGCGCCTGCTCAGGGTCGCGGAATTCCGTCCTGCCAGGCGTATTGAATCCTACTCGTCTTGGGGGATTTATCGTGCCAACTGCCTTTAAGCCGGAAAGTGCCCAATGTTCGAGGTTGTTCTCTTTGCACACTCAGCATTGTAGATTTTCCTCTTTGACCGACTTTGGATTAGAGGCTAGCCCTGGAGTAGAGTTCCGAAATAAGACTTCTATTTGTGCACGGACCTTGGCGCGTCTAATGGCACTCCATATCCCGGAGATGAGGAGGGCGTGGCTTGCATACTCCATTTGAGGAGGGCGTAGGCTGCATATTTACATTTGAAGTAACTGTCATCCTGTTTTGTGCTCTACCAAAGGATGATTACAACGGTTGGCATTACTCACTGACCGCACGACTCGAAAACTCAGATTTTTCGCTGAAACTTCGACCACGGAGGTTACTCGGTACCCTGATCACGGTTATTAGATCAATTTTTCGCCATTTGATGCCAATTTGGGACCATTCCCCCTCTCACTAGATCGGTGAAATTTTGTACAGGAGAGGGAGGGATTATTTGACATCCTGATCACGATGGCTGTAGGAAATCACTCATCCTCCCCAGGCTCATCCTCAACAGAGCGCGCTGGTGTCGAAAAATGGATGTCCTGTGACAATGATTTCAGTCAACATCATCATGCAAGTTTTCATGGATTTCTCGTCTTCGAGCCTTCTCGTCTTTTTCTTAGCTTTGAGCTTCTGTCATCTAACCTATAATCTTTTTTTCCGTCCATCCGCTCTTTAATAATCCTGCTTATAGTTAATCTTACAAGAATGCCCCTTCCGAATCAGCTTTTGTGGAAACAACAACGGTTTCAAGTTACGGCGTCCCATCTAGTATTGGTGCGCGGCGATTGCGTCGTCGCCTAGATTTTATCGTTTTGAGTTTATCTGCGTGTCCACCACCAAGCCTTCAGAAATGAAATTTGGGAGTTTTGGCGTCCAGTGGGCGTGGCCTGCCTTCGTGGTGAGAGTCGTCGCACTTTCCTCGCCTATTTTTGAGCTGCGTGAGCACTACATTGTTGTGGAGAAGACTTCCCTATCCATAGAAGACATCTGAACATCAAGGGAATGCGAAGCATGCCTTTAGCGATTTTCGTACATTCGAGGGATAGCTTTAATGGATTAACAGCAAAACTGATTCATTCCAAGAGTACTGATTTCGCCTGATTTATTATTCAGTGCCCTCTATATGGAGCGCTCTCAGATATCGGTTCAGGTAGTTGCT